TTCCTAAAGGAGACTTTAACTTTTACTAAAGTAATCTTTTGGTAAGATACTTGTACTTTTACTCAAGTATCACTTTGTGGTACTTTATACAACACCGAAAATCTCCACTTTACTCCCAAAAATAAAAACATCTTGAGGTGTTTAGGTGAAAATAAATTTAAAAAACTAAAAGTTTGACAGATTTGAGAGCGTGGAGTCCAGGATTAAACCTCACAGGATGCAGAGGAGCAGCTATCTGCTGAACAACCTGACAGAAGATCCACCAAGCTGCTGCAGGAAATATCATCCGTGCATTTTTAAGATTTTTGTTTGGAACATGGTTTACAGCCGTCAGGATTTAAATAAGGATCCAGCAGATCTGAAATAGTTCATCATTTGTCGTCTAAATTCTGACAGCGTCACTGAGCCTCAATCTAAAAATTAATCAACAATTTAACAAATGAAGACAAAAACAACCATAAAAAGCAATTAACTCAAACTGAGCACATCTTCCCACAGACTTGTTCCTTTAATTTCTCCTTCTAGTATGAAATGTGTCAGATCCAAGTGAAAATCAGGCCAGAAGCAGCTAAAGAGTAAAAAAAGTAAAAAGTCTCCGGTCTCTGCATGACTGCTCCTGTGAATGTGGAGATAAAGCTGAAGAGCGTTAATGCCATCAGAATCTGCAGTTTGTCAAACAGCAGCTGGATTAACTCGGCTCCAGTAGGTTTGTTATTGCAGGAAAGTTTATTTAAGAAGTCTTAAAGTAGAAAATATATTTTAGAAAGAGCCTGCAAGCTTTTTGCAACTCCTGTACTGACCTTTTCTTTCTTCTAGCTTCATATCTTTATATATGTTCAGAGATATTTAAAGTACTTGAAAAAAATAACTGAGTTAAATATAGAAAATTACTTGAGTAAAAATTTATTTTACTAATGGGAAAAGTACTTACAATAATCAGGAATAAAAGTACTTTTAAACTGTTTTCATGATGAGTTCAGTCATATTTAAATTTTAATGTTTTTAAAGTAAAGAAGTAAAAGCATTATTTTATGTTTTGAATGTAACAAAATAAAAGTTCAGATAAAAAAATGTTTAGTAAAATTACAAACTCTCAAGAAAAAAAATGACGTAAAAACTTTAACAAAGTAAATATACTTAGTTACAACTCTGGTTCTGACAGTTTATTACAGTTATTTACTGATGAAGAAGAATCATCCTCAGAGTTTGACTCCTGGGTTGTTTCAGTCTTTAACCCTTACAGTAAGAAACACATGAACTCCACCTGTGGAAACATGTGAAATTAATACATGTGAAACATATTCCAGGTGTTACAGGTTCCCAGTCATCCAGACAAAAATGAAAACGTTTATTTTGTTCCTCATCTCACAATTTGGAATAAGTTTTCTGGCTTGTATGGACCTAAAAAAATAGAAAAAATTAAAATAAAACAGAAATGTCATGAATCAAACTCAAGGCTTGCGGGCCGAATCTGGTCCTTGTTAACATTTTTCCGGCCTCAAAAGTAATAATTTAAATGTAAAATAGTTTCATTGCTTCTCTTTTTGTCACTGCACTCAGTGCAGTTTTTTTTTTATCAACAGCAGTCAAACTTCTCTCTATTTTTAAAGCTAAATAAGTGGATTTTTATGAGGGTTTTCTGTTTTTAAGTGATTCACCAGATTGCAGCAAAACGTTAATCTAAGAAATAGCCAGTGAAATAGTTATGTGTAGAGTGTAAGCCCTAAAAAATGTGTATTTCTACATTTATTAGAGCATACATGTTCTAAATGGCACATAAGGAAAAAACATTTTTTAAATAAATATTGACAGGAACTGGCCCTTGGCTTGGAACAAGTTTGAATTTTGGTCCCCTTGTGTAACAATAGTTTCTGGTTTACAAGAACTGAAAATAACACTCAGCTTGTTTCCTGCTTGTTTGCTGGTAAACAAACAACTGTTATCTCCTAATGACCTCTATGCTCCCACTTTATCTACACAACTATCTTCTGTGTTGTTACAACATTTATGAAGTCTTCAGTCAGAATAAAGAGTCTTTTCTTTAAAAGTGTAACTGAATGTTTCAGAAATCTTGCTGTGATGTGAGCTGAACACTTTTTGAACGTCTTGTTTGAAACCGATCTGCTGTAAGCTCATTAGGCACGGACAAGTTCATGATGTTATAGTTGGCAGGACTTCAGCATCAGGTGTCCACCCAAAGAAAACAGGCCGTCTGTGCTTTAAAGGCTTGATAAAAACATTGCTCTGACATAACCTGCTGCAGCAGAGCACATGACAGACAGCTGAGGATGTGTTTGTGATTTATTTGTAGACTGAAGTATTATCAGCAGAAACCAGACACAGCTTGTGCAAGAGTTCACACACAGGAAATACCGACAGACTTTTTCACAATTGGTGGCAGGGTAAATAACACAAATCTTATTGAATCTAATTTTAGGACAATTAGAAGTCCAGAGGGAGGCGAGTTGATTCTGTTCCCGACACAAGACCAAGTGTAAACATTTTAGCAACTTTAAATTTAGAGCGGCTTGTTTCTTCGAACAGAACTTGGTATGGACAAAAGGAAACAAAAGAACTTCACAGGAAAATAAAAATAATCTGCTCAAACTTTGGAAAAACTCAGACATTTAACATAAATAATTAAACATCAATTCTCTGAGTTTTCTGTTAACACCTCCCTGCAACAAACAAAGGAATAATTTATTTCAGCTTTTATGAGTAACTCTGTTATTAGTTTTGGTATTACACACACTGACAAGTATATATACTAACTCCAACTAACAAGGACAATGACTAGAAAGTCACTTCAGTGCAGAATGTAAAATTATGAAGGCATGATAAAAAATACTTTTATGAGATATTAATCAGTTTGAGGTATATAATTAGATGTATGAAGTGTATAAATAACTTATGAAGTGTATAACTGAATGTATGAGGTGTATAATTAAGTGTACGAGGAATATTGTTCGGTGAATGAGGTGTATAATTAGATGTATGAGCTAATTAATATGTATAATGAATTTGATTTATGATATGTATAGTTAGATGTATGATGTGTATAATTAAGTGTATGAGGAATATTGTTAGGTGTATGAGGTGCATAATTATCTATATGAAGTGTATAATTATATGTATGAGCTAATTAATATGTATAATTCATTTGATTTATGATATGAATAATTAGATGTATGAAGTTTATAATGGAATGTATAAGATGTATAATTAGCTGTATGAGGTGTATAATTAGCTGTATGAGGTGTATAATTAGATGTATGAGGTGTATAATTAGATGTATGATGTGTATAATTAGATGTATGAGGTGTATAATTAGATGTATGATGTGTATAATTAGATGTATGAGGTGTATAATTAGATGTATGATGTGTATAATTAGATGTATGAGGTATCTAATTAGATGTATGATGTGTATAACTAGATGTATGAGGTGTATAATTAGATGAATGAGGTGTATAATTAAATGTATGAAGTGTATTATGGAATATATAAGATGAATAATTAGCTGTATGATGTGTATAATTAGATGAATGAGGTGTATAATTAAATGTATGAAGTGTATTATGGAATATATAAGATGAATAATTAGCTGTATGAGGTGTACTGAAACATAAAAAGGACTGAATTGTCTAAAGTTCTGCAGTTTGAAAGATTTTAATCCAGTAGATTACCAAAGATGCGGGTCCACTTTTAATGTAAACAAAGCACTCAGTCAGAATTCACCTTTTTAATTGAAACACAGCCTTCTTATTGATATGAAGAGAATATTGTGAGGATGCAGCCCTACATGTGAATGTGTGTTCAGTAAGTGAATATAAGCTGATCATATCAGTTTCTTTATGTTTGGATCCAAAACGCTCCATGAGGACTGAACCAGGCTGTGCAGTAAGACACTGAGCCTTCAGGGCTTTAACTCCCACTGAGGCCGTCTGAGCTGAACGTTTGGGAAGTGTTCCCGCCACCCACCTCTTCAGATAAAAAAGAAGTCACAGCTGCATGGCTTCCAAATCAGTGAAGATCAGAAAGATAAACCCTGAAGAGTTTCCTCCACATTTTAAACATCACATGGACAAAAACAAGACCCACCCGCAGGCGTCAGCCCCTGGACAGGAAATGGCTCAATTTAAACAGGAAACAGAGACAAATCTCACAGATATAAATCTCACACAGACTCAGACAACTCGTGTCATTTGAGCTTATCAGATTGAGCCAGACTCTCTAAAATTAGCAAGAAAATTCAATGTTTATATTTTTATTTTAAATATCAAACTGAACGCTTGTTTTTAGGGTCTCGTGAAATGAGAAGTTCACGCTCCTGCGTACGTCAGCCGGCGTTTCCTCTCGAAGACAACTCCTGACACCACTTGACCCTGAAAGTTCTGGCCCGAAGCTGACCCAGACCACCACCCAAAGGTTTGTCGCCAGGAAGCTGATGAGGATCATCCATCATCGTCTCTCTGAGATAATTCTTCTTTCCTCTCATTAAACACTTTTTATACCTGTTGCTTTCATTGATGCAGATTTTAAACCAGTATCAGTTTAAAAAAAGCCAAATTTTGTAATAAACTGAAGCCTGCAGCCAGTTTTGTGTAGGCTAAGGTTAATTAGCTGTAGCAAATAATTTGAGCAGTGGTAATTCCACAAGGTTAAACAGCTTCAGGCATACATCCAGCTTGTATTTTAGGAGATATTTTGCTAACAAACAGGGTTGATTTTTAATAGTTTAAGCAATCATGTTGCATGATGCTCAAAGAGGCTCCACAGCAAACTTTAGCTCAGTCTCTGACTGGTTTTGACCATTTGTTTTATTCAGTTAGCCATCTTAAATAGACAGTGCCAAAATGTAAAACTGTGTTTTCGAATCAGCATTGTCTCTGTTGCAGTTAGCTTTTTAAACTCAAGTTATAACAGAATATCAGTTAGTTTTTTTATTCCTTTTTGTTTTATATAGTTTTGATTTTATTGTGTTTTTATCTTTGATTTATATATAGTGGAGTTTTTTGAGCACCTGGTCAGTTTTTAATTATGTTGTTTCCACTGTATGTCCATGTCATGTGTCTTGTGTTTTTCTTGGAATGAAGCTAACTCCTTTTCACTGTAATCAAATTTACCTGCGGGTACAAATAAAGTTGATTGATTGATCAAAAAAGAAAAAATAAGTAGGTCCTCTGGATGGATTCTTCTTTAGTGAAACTTTTCATCTCTCCTCCAAGAGGCTTCTTCAGTCTGATGAGTTTCAGGTGAACTCAGCCTTTAAGCTCCACCTCCACATGGACAAACAGGTTAGTCACATGCAAAAGAGGACCATTGACTAACAATAGGCTTGATTGGCTCTGTTGGTCATAGAGGGTCATGTGCCCCATCATCTGACCCATGTCGAGTTATCTGTATGTAGTGAATGCAGGTGGGGCTCGAAGTCCCCTTGTTTTTGTCTCTCAACAAGGGGACTTAGCCTGCATTCACTACATACAGATAAATCGACATGGGTCAGATGATGGGGCACATGACCCTCTATGAACAACAGAGCCAATAAAGCCTATTGTTAGTCAATGGTCCTCTTTTGCATGTGACTAACCTGTTTGTCCATGTGGAGGCGGAGCTTAAAGGCTGAGTTCACCTGAAACTCATCAGACTGAAGAAGCCTCTTGGAGGAGAGATGAAACGTTTCACTAAAGAAGAACCCATCCAGAGGACCTACTTATTTTTTCTTTTTAATTTTTTCTACCTGGATTACTGAGATGCATCAGGACAGATTGATTGATTAAATCGGTTAACCAGGTAAAATGTTTCTCTAAAATGAAAACGAGATATTTGGCTGATTGTACAGACACACACTGCTGCAACTTTGGCCGGGTGATAAAGATTTGTTTTTTTTTTTTTTGCTAAATTCTTTCAGCTTCTGGCTCAGTTAGAGCTCATATGAAAACCTCGTTTCACTGCCCATGTTTGACCCCACGTCACACAGGTGGCTGCAGGACCTCTGTACCCGCTTTGGGTCGGTCACATACCAGTCTGAGGGGGCGAGCTCGTGCTGGAGCTGGAGCTGGGGGACAAACAGATCCTATGACCGTCACCCTGCAGCTGTCGTTGGTGTGTAACTTTCAGACAGCAGATATTTGAACATCCTGTCAGCATATAAAACTCCTGTCAGACCTGATCCCCACAGAGAAACACGGGCTTTTTGTCATGGTCGTAGTTTGAAGACAGAATTATTAAACACAAAATAATTTGTATTTTATGTTTAGAAAAAGCAGTTTCTGTATTGAATGGCTGGTGTTTGCTCCTGTAAAGCTCAGTGACGTGATGTCACGCTGCCAGCAGCTCCTATAAACCTGAGTGAACACTCAAGTGTTTGTAAGCAGCAGCTGGCATGTTGGAATAAACACAAGCGGCAGCTGTCTTACTAAAACTGTCTTTGCATAGAAACAGCGCTCTATTGTTGCTCTTTCCAAAGTCAGCAGAGAGGAGTCTGCACAGCTCCTGCCCTGACAGCTTACACACCATCACTGCAGAAAGTACACTCATTTCAAACTAAACCAACCAGGACCTTATCTGACAAGGTAAGAAACAAAATAACCAATCAGAGTCCTTCCTGGTGATGTCATGATTCACCTGCTGGGGTCTCCGAGCCAACCCTTCTCCTCCTGCAGCATCTGAAGCATCAGCACACAGAAAGCACCTCCACCCAGCCGGCCTTTACCTTCCAGCCTCCAGCAGCTCCAACCTCCACCTGCAGCAGCACAACTTCTTCTTCTTCTGTTTATTTGTCTCAGATTCTCCTCCTGTCCCTCGACCTTCTTCTTCTGTTCACAATAAAAACCTCTCCCCCCTCTCCCTGCTCTGAAACCTTTTGCCCCTTGTCACCAGTCAGCTTGTTGCTCCCCTCACTGAAACCCAGGCCTGTCCCGGACCCATGGCATCTCCAGGAGGGACGCATCCCGCTTCCTGATTGGCCGGAGGGCACAGAGATGCCCCCATATTAGGGCCTGCGGAGGCGGGGCTGCACTACTATAATAAAAGAAGGTGGAGAAACAGATAAAGTTTGACTCACACACAAACTGCACAGCTTGTTTTGTGCAGTTCGTCATTAGAGCGGGGAATGATGATGTTTGAGAAATACAAATAGAAGTTCCTGGCAGCTGAGAGGGAGACCCTGAGACCCTGACTTAAGCGTCTTTTTTCAGAGTTAACCATGTCAGTTTTTGCACAATGTACAGTTTGAATTTATGGCTGTGACTCGTTCAGATCAGGCTTGGCTACATCTGCAGCACTGAGTTAATGATACATGATTTTAAAAAACAAACAGACCATAAAGTAAAAAGGTCAAAGGTCAGGTGTTTTATAGTGAATAAAGCTCATCTTCAGCTGCTGATGGTTTATTGACAAGTTTTCACCGTGTCAAACTGATTGATCTGCCTTTAGGTTGTGTTTAAAAATTCTAATTCTAAAATGTTGGAAAATCATATGAAAAAATTTAAATAAACTTAAAATAAAAATTTCAACCTAATATTTGTTCACTCTGAACCAGCTGTCATTTTTAAATTGAGTTTAATTAAGAACATCTCAGGGTCTCTCTCCCATTTAGTTTTTCCAACAGGTTGCATGTGTCAAATCCAAGGCCCATGGGCCAAATATGGCCCACCACTGCATTTTTATGTGGCCCATGAGAGCTTCAAGGAAATGTCCTTGATGCTAAATGTCTTAAGCTGCTTTAAAGCTAGCGTTGACTACAAACCAGTGGTTCCCAAACTTTTCAGCCTTTGACCCTCAAAAAACCAGCAGCAGAGACCTGAGCCCCCAACTGTTGTTGGATCATAGACATTGTTTTCACGTCAAAGAAATAGAATAGTAACAATATTTACTATACTATTTTTGTCCATTTTAAGTACACTAACCTTACTCTTTTGTATTAACAAAGGCAATAAAATGTTATTTTCTAATCTAATTAATTCAGAAAATCTTTTCGGGACCTCACCTTGATGTTTTGGGACCCCATTGTGGTCCCGACCCCAACTTTGGGAACCACTGCTATAAACTACACCTCCGATAATACGTTGATTATTTTACTCACAAAATGACGACACCCCACCACCAGGTGGTGCTAAACAGGGATCAAAAGTGGCCGTGGAAATTTACTGTGTAAAATCTCCATTTTGCTGCATTTTTTCTGGCTACTTTGCTGCAGCTCAGTTGTACTGGGAAGTGGGAATTTCCCACTTACAAGTGGTAAATTTAAACTGGAACACCCCTGCAGTGGGAATTCCCTGTCTGAAAGTGGGAGGAACAGCTACTCACCACAACTCATCAGTGAATAAAACTCTCTTACTTTGACTTTTATTGGATTTCTGTTTTATTTATTTCACATTTATTTATTTCACACTCAGTCAGTCGTATACGTAGTACTTTTCAGTGTTTATAAGAGGACGTGTTAAAACACTGTTTCTATGCAGGAAATACCAAGTAGAGCTCAGTTAGTGTTTGTTAGCGGAGCTCAGCCATAGCAACGAGATGAGAAATGTTTAGTCAAAGTTAATTACCACTGGCCCTTTGAGGGCCATCATGATGAGTATTTGTGACTTTATTTTACTTATTTATGTCATGTAAGTTTTGGGAAATCACGCTATAAAGATCCCGCCCACATAAAGGCAGAAGTCATACCAAAAACCATCAAGACAGTTGAAGCGAGTCGTGGTGAGACTAGATAGTGGACAAAAAGGACATTAGTGCGTCACAATCCAGATTAGGGTTTTGACACCAGTTCTGGGCAGCCGACCCCCTCGTTTGTAGCTGTAAACATTCACTGCAGCCCCCACACAAAGACAGGATTTAGAGTCAAGGGGCCAGACAGCAGGGGTGGGGTTGCCTGAATGGGTGGGTGTTGTTGATGAGTAAAGAGCGGTGAGGTGGTAGTGGGGGTAAGGGGTTGGGGGTGGTCACACCAAACCACAGCTATGTCCTCATCAGCGCTTCAACAGGCCAGGAAACTGGAGCAGGCTGAGGGTATGAATGTGTGTAGAGCAGGCATTCATGGGCTCCTGATTCTGTTTACACGGTCACATTACGGGGGCGTCTCCTGCGGGGGGGCTCTGTGTTCAGGACCACCAGATGTCACTGTGGGGCCGTGTGTTGCATTATAAATAAACAGGTGCAACATTTTTAACAATATTGTGATTCTAGTCTTCAAAAGGTCAATAATACATCAGACAGGTAAAGAATTAAAATCACATGAAACCTTTGATGCTGGAGTTTGAGACTAAAATCCTCTCCTGTTGAGTGAAGACAGAGTTGTAGGTGAACCTTCAAATCAAAGTTATACTCTGAGTGTGACTGATACTGGAGGTTTCTGCCTGTTAAAAGGGAGTGTTTTCTCTCCACTGTCACCATGTGTTGCTCAGGATGGGAGACTGAGGAAATGATTCAACACAAGCTGCTGCTTCTTTAGATTTTTTTTTTGCGTACCGAGCCCTGAGACGACATATGTTGTGACTTGGTGCTATGTAAATAAATTGAAATTGAAAGAGAGGTCCCTCGAGCTGCTGCCCCCAAGACCCAAGTAAGGAACTAGGGAAATAAGATGGATGGATTGAAAATAAATAATTATGGCAGACCCTTTTACCACAAAATCAGCCTTACCACACTTAAATTCCAGATATCTGAAACTGGTTCAAGACTGTACATAATAGTTATTTAAAGGGCCAATATTATGTGTTTCTCAGGCATATATTTAAATACTATACCATAATAAAGTATCTATGTCACCTTTAGCTGTTACTAAAATGCTGTTTTAATGTTTAAATAGAAAATAAACTTATCTTCTCATCACTTCCTCTTCTAAACACCTTGAAATTTGCCTCTGTCTCTTTAAGAACCTCCTTCCCTTCTGTCCCCTCCCATTTCAGTGTGTGTGTGTGTGTGGGGGGGGGGGCTATGATGCAGTTTACTTGGCATCTGAAAATACATTTCCTCAAAGATATTTTTAATCTGAAAAGAGCTTCACTGAGTGAGAATTAGTGTTGAGAGCTCAGCAGACAGGTTTCACTTTCACTTTGACCCGAGAGCCTGCAGGAGTCATGGGCGGGATGTGTGGGGAG